GAACTTATTATAGAAAATAATGGTGAACGAATTCCGTTCTAAAAAAAATATTAATAAAATTAGCTAGTTTTTAGCTTTAAATATATATAAATTTTATTTAGTTAGTATTGTTTAGTTTTTGCATAATATGTATTTAAAAAATTCCGGTTTTTTTTGTCCCACACTGTATATATAAATCTGAATTATTTCAATTTTGAAACTGGATTTGAAATTTATAATAGATTAAAATTCAGATAGTTATTTTAAATAGATAGATCTAATATATTCATTACCAATCTAGATTTAAATATTATATAATGTTATAATAATATATTAAAAATTTTCCTATTTAAAGTATTTAATCATTAGGTCAAATTAGATATTTTCATTATAATTAGAAAAGGCAAAAATTTCTAAATCCAAAATATTAAAAATATTTTAAATGCTATAATGGCTTATTTCATAAATTTATATTGATAACCTTTGGGTCAAGAAAAATCACATGATTTTTACTTAAATGTTAATATATTATAATAGCCTTTTTAAAGAAACACTAATAATTTGATTTATTTTAATTTTATAAATGATATTTGAAATATATTTTAAAATTCTAAATTGTAAATTAATATTAATAAATTATTTACAAAATATATAAAAAACAAAAATTTTAAAAATTTTATTTTATTTAAAAGATCTTCCAGTTTATAATCACGTGATATAGTCTATTGAATTTCTATCATTTACTTTTGGAGTATTCAATGAACACCCAACCATTTTTTTTTTTAAAAAAAAAAATTTTATAAAAACATGTTTCACAAAAATATTTAACTAGTCTCAAACAAGTATCAAATTCGAGTTTATATATTTGAAGTAAAATCACATGCTGATTTCATTTACTTTACATCAAACTAAACTCTCTTAGGAATCAATTCATAAGATTTTTAAATATCACTGTGATATCTTTGCCAACACCTTTCCAAATTTAGAAATCTAAATAGCTAAAACTGATTAGGCAATTCTTTATCGACTATTTTATACGCGTAATTTTTGAGACTGGTAAAATAATTGTATTTACGCGTTCAACTTATAAATCATTTTTCTTATAGACGAAATGACATCTACCGGAACTGTAGGTTCACAATCTATGTTTAATGACTCTGATAAAGAAAATGCTATGGACATTGTAAATGATGATCAAGAGGGAGACGAATCGGTTGCATATTCCGTAAAACTCGACGAAATTCTTGGGACTAATTCATATGATCCAGATCAGGACAAAGACGAAAAACGATGGTTGCGAAAAGAGTATAGAAATCTTATAAATTCTACAGAAGGTTATTTCGAGTTGTTAAATATTTATTCGAATCAAAAAATATTGTATATAATCAATTTGAATCATATATATAACAAATTCTATATACACTTTCTTTTATTTATAGAGAACAGACAAGAGTACCTGAGATCTGAATCAGATGGTCTCTCCAACAATATTGCAAAGGCAAATGAATTACATCAGAGAGGTATTATTATTATTTTTTTTTTTTTAAAAAAAAAGAAACAATAATAATTATTTATTTATTTACAATATATTAAACAAAAAAAAAAAAAAAAATCTTGTAATTAATTTGAAATAGTCAAGAATACGCATGAAGCAACACTAGATTCGCGCCTTTTAGTATTAACGAGTGGTCTGGGAGTTCAAAAAGCTCGTCGTATGAAATTGGATAATAATTCTTTTGATGTTGATAATTATGTGTCAAAATTAATTACATTTATGGGTGGCAGACAATTAGATAGTGATACTCCGGATTTGGATTGGAAATCAATTGGAAGATTAGCTGCTCAATTTACGAATCGAGTGCCAACAAGTGATTTTATGTGAGTATATAATTCAATGTGGATAATTCTATAAAATATTCTTCATAGATGAACCCTTTCGTAATTTTTAGGCTTGGTCCTCTTTCTGTTGAAACAAAAGAGCGTGAAAAAAAAATACGACATTCCTTGAATAAAGATAAGAATGCTTTGAGAGAACCCCAACAGGTAGACAACTATGATTAAATGGAAATATCAATTGATATTTTATAATCGGATCTAGCATATTTCTTTAATACTATTTATCTCAATAGCTAAAAGAAAAGGATATCGAAAGACAAGAGAATGAGACGACAAGGAATGTTAAAATGATTTTTGATATTTTGGGAGATGAACAGCCGATAAATTTCTTTGAATTTATCATTAATCCTGAATCCTTTGGTCAAACTGTTGAAAATTTATTTTATTTGTCGTTTTTGGTACGTGACGGTAAAGTAAATATAGATGATGATTCTGGACAACCGGTTCTAAGTAAGTATATTTAAAAATGTTTAATTTTCTTAATTTTTATTTTAATTCTTTGTTATTTAATTAATTAGCATTATGTGAACCACCGACCGCTGACGATTACGGGAATGGTTTAATTAAAAAACAATTATTGATGGAAATTGATATGAGCACATGGCGGGTACTAAAATAATTATTTTTATTTTTCGGAAATTCAATTATATTTAAATTAAATCTTTTTTTTTTAATAAAATATTTAAAGGAGATAATTGAAGTATATGAAATTAAAGAATCTGTAATTCCAACACGAATCAGTCGTCAACCGACTACTGGAAAATGGCTAGGATAAAGAAATGAAATTTTGTCTTGCAATCTTTTCTTTTTTTTTTTATAAAAAAAAATATGAACGTAGAGTTTGTTTATAGTTTCATTTTCTTCCCCAACTCACCCTTTATATATATATATATATTAATTAAGTTCAAGGTAAGAGTAAGGTTAGTTTTCTAATTCAAGTTAATTTTTTTTTGTAAATATTTTTAGGTAAGTGTTTATAATGATAAAGGTAATGATTCACTCGTAGAAAGATATTAATAGATTTTTGTGAATTTACTTTAATGTTAAGCTAAACTATATTTGAAATGAATTCAATAAATTTATTAGTAAATCAAGGATTTAGATATAAATGATTAGCCGGATCATTATTAAAAAAAGAAAAATTGTATTTAAATTTTTTTTTTTTTTAAGATTAAGTTAGTAAAGAAATATTTAATTGAAATGTCAATAAAATATTATAATTAAGATCTAATTTAATCAAAAGTTTTAAATAGGATTTATAAATCATCTGTAAGTATATAATTCAATATTGTTTAATTATATATATATATTTATATTCATTTTAGTTAAAAATAACATAAATTCTTTATATCCACGGATATATATATCCCCCTTTTGTATCACATCGTATCACACCCCTCAAGCTTCCGTTTTTACTATTTATTGGGGGACTTTTTTTTTGAGTGGCGAAATCTTATTTGTCACACATATCTATTTGTCACGGTTAGAGTTAGGGTTAGGATTTGTTAGGGTTATTTAGGTTAGGTTTTAGTATATTATTAGGAGAGGATACTGGTATCCTCTAATATGAAATAAAAATATTCTTCTTTTATTATTATTTTTAAATTATCTTTTAATTATATAAAAATATTAGTTAATTTCGGATTTTTAGACTGATTTGATTGATTTCTATTATATAATAATTTTTTTATTTTTCTTACATTAAATTTATACTTTAATATATTAAAATTAATACTGTATTATTTATAGCTTTTTAATTCATTCTAAATTAATTTTAAGATATCAAAATTTTTATATTAAATTCATTTTGGATTTACAATATATTTAAACTTTTAGTTTTATTAATTTTTATTAAATTTTTATAAATTTTGATTAGAGTTCTGAATCAGATCAGGTTAACCTATTTACCTGATCTGATCTGACTTGAAAATTCAAATTAGATCAGTAGATTTTTAGATTAATATCAGGTCAAGTCAATAGGTCAATCTGATCTGATCTGACTTGATAAAATTCAGGTCAACTAATCATTCTTAAATAATGATTTTATCATCTTTAAATAATAGTTTACTATTCTTAAACAAAATTTTAAAATTTTGAAAAATAGTTTTATCATCTTTGAATGATGGATTATTATTATGAATGATATTTTATCATTCAATTAAAACAATTCATTATCATTCTTGAATAATGTTTTATTATCCTTAATGATAGTTTTATCATTCTTAATTAATAGTTTTATTATTCTTAAACAATACTTTATCATTCTTTTTATTATTTAAAAAAAATATTTTATCGTTCAATTAGAATAATTTATTATCATTTTAAATGATACTTTTATTATTGTTGAATGATTTATTATTGTTCTTGAACAATATTTTTATCATTCAAGAATAATGTTTTTATCGTTTAATTAAAACAATTTATTATCATTCAAGAATAATATTTTTTATTCTTAAACAATGCTTTCATTATTCTTTTTATCATTTAAAAATAATATTTTATCATTCAACTAAAACGATTTATTATTATTTTTGAATAATACTTTTATCGTTATTGAATGATTTGTTATTATTCTTAAATGATACTTTTATCATTCAATTAGAATAATTCATTATTTTTAAATAATGTTTTATCATTCAATTAGAACAATTCATTATTATTCTTGAATAATGCTTTATTATTCAAGAATAATATTTTATCATTCAATTAAAATGATTCATTATCATTCTTAAATAATATTTTTATCGTTTTTGATTATTCAATTACAACAATTTGTTATTATTCTTAAATAATAGTTTTACCATTCAAAAATAATATATTTATTATTCTTAAATAATGTTTTTTCTTGAATAATTTATTAACTTTTAATTAAAAATAACAGAGTTAATTAAATAATTTAATTTAATATTATTTAAAAGTAAATAAGAAAAAATTTCCTTTTAGATAAGGTTAGGTTAGATCAAATGAAAATTTAAATTAGATCAGATTTTTATTTGACTTAATCTAATTCTCTCAGTTCAGATAACTTGATTGATCTGACTTGAACTGACTTGTTCAGAGCTCTAATTTTAATATAATATTATTTTTTTTTGAAATTTTGTTAAATTTTATTTTTTATCATTTAAAAACTTATAAATCTCTAAATTTTATTTAATAATCTTAATTATATTATTTGTTTTAAAATTAAGAAATTATAAAAAATATAAAAGTATCTACAATGATTTAAAATTAATATAATATAGCTTAATTAAATAAAATAGCTAAATTATTTCTATATTCAATTCATGATTTTATTGATTGAAAATTTTAATAATAATCAATTATAGTTAAATGATAATAGTTTAATCACAAAACTCTATATTATTAATATTCTTTTTATCTTAATTTAACAAAATTATAATATTAAAAGTAAATAATATATTAAATAGTTTCATGAAGCTATTAAAAACATTATAAGTAAAAAATTTTGAAGAAATTATATTTAAGCTATTAGATACTGAACCTGATAAATTTGAATAATTATAATTTAGCAATTTTGAATAAAAGATAGAAAATATGGTTTAATAATAATGAATTTGTAGATAAAATATAAATATAAAGTCAAATATGCTATAATCGTTAATTGAAAATACTAAGTTATATATATAAACTATAGATTTATATAAGCTAATATATAAAGATGCTGCAAAATTGATATTGTATAATAAGAAAGCTTATTAAATAAAAGCAGCTTTAGTTTTTAAAATATTACTGAAATATTATAATAAATAAGGTTGCTAAACTTAATAAAAACAGAAATTGTTGTTAAGTCTAAAGTATAATTTAACATATTTTTAACATAAATTGACCTTTCTATTTTGGTATATATATTTAAGTGATTAATTTATTAATAGATGACAATTAATGCTAAAATAGTATATATATAATCTTATATGATTATAATTATAATTTATTTTTTTAGTTATTAAGATAATTATTTTTAGTTAACCTAAAAAGAAAAATTAATACTTTATATAAATATTAAAAATCATTAATTAGCTAAAATTAATCTAAAAAAAAATATATTTATTTATGTAATTATTCAGTTATTATATGAAATAATAAAGTATTAGTAAATAGATTGATTTGTTTCAATTTGATAAAATAGCTTAATAATCTATATATCAAAGTTGTTTTATAAATAAACAATTAAAATATCTATTCAGAGATACTTTGAAAGTAAAATAATATAGTGAATAAAATAGTAAACTAACATAATATGTATCTTGCATGTGATTAAAAAAGAAAATACTAAAAAAAATTAAGGAAAATAGAAGAAGATCATGAAATATGTCTTAAAAATATAAAGAAGAAAAATTCAAAGACAATTAATAAAACTACAGAAGAATGAGAATAACGTCTAAATTATAAAAATGAACGTAAACATAATAATTGTGTTCAAGTAAAAGAACAAATTAGAAATAATAGCAAAATATAAACAAACCTATAAATAAACTAAATTAACATGTAGATGTAAAATAAATTCTTAGTAATGAGAAATCAAATGTTCAAAGAACTCAAAAGATAACAATTATTCAGACATACTCATTATATTAATCTCAACCACTATCATCAGCAAAGAGGAATATTATCTGCTAGAAGATTTTACAAATAAATGGATAATATACATTATAAAATTTGTAATGAATATAATAAACAAATATCATTTAAACTTTTCAAGAAGTTCAAAAATATCTCTGAGGAAATGTACAAATGTTATTACTCAGAAGTGAATTTACCAAAAATGTTTTTTGTAAAAAAATAACATGAATCTGGATAAAGTATTTGAAGAACTTCAAGATTTTACTAAAATAAAAAAAATGTTAATAGCCCAAGTTTTTATAGTAGTATCTATATACAGATTTCATAGTAGACAATATAAATATCATAAAAATATAGTAAATTTTTCTCAAGACATATAAGAATTTTACAAAGTGATTTTTAAGATAGTCATTATCATTAAAAATTTTTGTTGTAAGGTAGTAAATAAAAAATGAATTATCAGCTTTTAGGGATTTTATTATATGAAGAAAAAAAGTTACTAAAACCTTAGTATAACTAAAAGAGAATAACTATTATTATAAAGACATAACTATAGATAATAAAGTTCTTTAATTTTTACTTGACAATAGATCTGTCTTTAACATTCTTTCATATTTTCAGAATGATCAATTAGTAGATAAAAATACGAACAATATTAAAAATGGAAATGAAATAATATTAAAGATATTTGTATCAATGCTACTATTAACATAATGAGAAGATGTTATCATAATAAAAATTTGCAGATTATATTATGAGATATATAGAAGGATTATGTGAAATGCGTCAATTTTAGATGGCATGACATTAAAAATTAAGTGACTTGATCAAATAAATAAGGCATAAAGGACTAATTTTTTATTTTCAGCATAGCTGATTTATACTCGCCTAAATTCTACAAATTAATGAATAGTAATAATCAAGGTAAAGAAGATGATTCAGCTAAACAGAGGCAACAAAACATCAACATCATAAACAATTTTCACATAGCAGCATAATTCTTCACGAAAAGTTTGATAATTTCTTCAAGATATACTGATACAATAATTAAAATTAGACGATTAATGGTATTAATTCAAATGGTAACATAGAGGTAGCATATATATGTATAAAATTAGGAAGAAGCGAAATGTGTTTACAATTGATTAGAATAAAATACAAGAAAATGAAAATGAAATGAACAAAATATTAAAG